ATATATATATATATATATATAAACACCTATGGTAACATTTGACAAATAGTTAATTACAAAGTACGAACTTTGGCGACTAACGAGACGTAGGTCGTGGTGCGGCGCTGGGTTGATCAGAGGTCCAAACCGCAAGACGCAGAACGAAAAGGGTCATTTTATTATCATTTAACAGACTTGCTACAACAAGGAAAAATCTTTCTAATTTCAAATTATCCATGCGCGACAGATATTTAATTATCATCAGAATTGCAAGAATCGGTGTAATATTATCCACCCATCACAATTCCACCTATTATATACTATTTGTCATAAACTTTTCGATCTTTATTACAGATTGAATTCAAATTGCTCGAAATGATTTTTCGTCCAAGATAATTAATAACGCACAAAAATATTTATATCAAACTATAGATGATTACCAAAATTGCAAAAAATTCTGCAAAGACAACATTCAACTTTACTCCCATTGAGATCCTTCAACCAAAACAACGTCCGTTATTGTTAAAAACAACTCAATCAATTATTCTAATGAAGAAATCATTAATGAATTACGATATAAATTTCCACTTATAAAAGTGCATCGTCTGTGTATTGAAAATCATCAACCTATTACAAACCGGTAGGATTAGACAGAAACCAAGAAGCTTCAAATATATGTAAATTAGTAGAAAATGTTATAGTAAGTTGTAGTAAGTAGTAAACTTTGCCTTGTGCTAGCGGCCGTTAACATACATAATACTGATTCCCTTTATTTTCTATGGTCGCTTGCTGGTGTTGTCTACTTCTACGGGACACTCACACGCGAAGAATCGACAGGCGACTAATTGCGAGATTTTTAATAAATTTCAGCATATTTTAGATTGAACTGTCATTTCTTTTCCGATGTCAAACGACCAGTTGACATTGGTTGAAAAGCAAAACCTCCCTTTTTCCATCAATGTATAGTATATATATATATATATATATATATGTGTGTGTGTGTGTGTGTGTGTGTGTGTGAGATTGCTTTTTACGTTATTTTCACTATTTCTCATTTCGCGCTCGACACGATGACGATTTCAAGTCGACGAAAGCGGCTCGGCTTATCTTGCCGTGTCCATCACATGACGTTTTATGCTTTGAGTATATTCACAAACAGTTCCAATGTCCTATTCCTGTGTACGCCAATTCTGAGTCTACTCTGCTTCCTATCGCGGCGGCCCAACTCGCTCCCGTGCGTCGTGGACCATGTCATATCACCGGCCTCCTCCTCCCCTTCCGCCCGTGCGCACGTGACGTATTATTAGGCTTCTCAAAGTTGCTATCGCGGAGATGGTCCAGCGAAGTGGGTTCTTCAGCACAGTGACGCCGTTGATGCGGAGTCCTCTCAACATGCAGAACGGCGGTGAGCGTGCCTTTCTGGCGACCTGTGCGTGTCACAGGTGCTCTTGATGCGCGGGACAAGGTGCGCGATCACTGTCACATCTCTCTTCACATTTCGCAGCGCTGCTCTTTCACAACGCGAACTCCTACGACTGGCGTTGCATTATGCGATAACTTGCAGTACGCTCCTAAAGACATTGGAGACTTCAACCTATTTCTTAGAAACACGGACGTTTCATTTCTTTTCTGTATTGCGTGTCGTGTGTAAAAAGTCCGCATTCCTGATTATTTTAAGCTTCTAGCAGAATCTCTCGGCACTCTGAGTCGTAATCGCGCGGGCGACGACCTCAATCAGTTGCGCAAACATTTTCCTGACGACAGACTCGTTTTGCTTTCTCGAAGGTACTTCGTAAGAAGAGAAAATTATGTAAGCGTGCCCGGAAAACGGTGAATTTTCCGGGCAGAAACTCTTATTGCCGGGCCCTGGTTACGAAAAAGTAAATTATCTTAGTCGAGCGACTGGTGCCTCAAGACATAAAATGGATTTACCTGTAAATATCGATAGCCGTAGCCGGAAAACTCGGAAGTTCGTAAAACAATTTATTATTCACATTTATTATTCATAATCACAATGAAATTAAAAATCGGGTTTAGCTGTGGAGGGGTGTGGGTGGTAGGAGAGGAGCTACGAAACCTTTCAAAAATATTACTTTTATGTTATAGTTATACTGTAATTTCTCGTATGTCATTTGGTTCAGGGTAACGTTTAACCATCTTATCCGGGCGTGCCCTTTGTGTTGTATTTAAATCAAACTAATTTTATTTTACAAATTAATTCATTATTTGAATCATCTTAAATTTACAAATTATGAGTTGAAAAAAAAAAGTTGAAGAAAGAAGAAGTAGTACTTAATTGCGGTATTATATAAATTAATATGTAATGATCTTTGCAATATGTAAGTTAAAAATAAAAATTCGATATTGAACAAGTTTAAACCAACAAAAACAATTTGCAATCCAGAAACAATATTCATAATTGTTCAGAGAATAACTACCTAAAACCTAATTCAAGCAGGGGATAAACAAACTAAACATAGACCGCTACACCTGTTGTGAACCTATGAAACACGAAACACACGTATGCTGCATGTCGTTAACTCAGCACATGTGGATCTGGTAAAGTGGGGGAATAATAATAATAATAATAATAATAATAATAATAATAATAATAATAATAAATTTGACAGATGCAGACGCCATCCACTTCCCGGAGGACAGCCGGCGGACGACAGACAGTGCTTCGTCCTACGACTGGGACGGCACATCGGGCCCAGCCAACGCCTCAGGCATAGGCCCAGCCATTGGTCCAGCCATCGGCCCAACCTTCAGCCAACCCAACGGCTCAGACATCGGCCCAACCATAGGCCCAGGCATCGGCCCAGGCATCGGTCCAGGCATCGGCCCAACCTTTAGCCCAGCCTTCGGCTCAACCTTCGGCCCAGTCTTCGGCTCAACCTTCGGCCCAGCCATCGGCCCACCAATGGGTCCCTTCGGGTGAGACCCCTACCCACGCTCAACACCCCATTCCCTCCGACCCCCAATTCATATCTTTCCTCTCCCGCACCTACACCATCCATTGCATCCTATCCCATCTCTCACTTGCGCTTCCCTCTGTCTCTTCCGCATGTGTTTTGATATTGCTCTGGGGGACAAATGATCCTAAATATCGTTTTCAAATTGTTTTGTCATTTATAGTAATTAAAAATGTTAAAGAGATCAAACTTCATTTCATATCAATTAGCCCAATTAGAATTAATTTACGGTACATGTAATCTCTTAACCATGTTTAAACTGCCACCTCTATTTTCGACGTTTTTAAGGAACCATTCGTAACTGCATATGATAGGTTCCACAGCAATTATTTAAAATATCATCAAAATAAAGTTTTCCATTAATTTCACCCAATGATATCAACTTCAGATAATTTGCCCCACTACACACGGATTTCTTTGAAAATTAGCTTAGAAGAAGGAATAGAAATACTAAGAGAGTTACGAACTATTATTACCTTATTTGGCTTCACCACATTCGTTGCCTATCGAACCCTTGTGAGAGGGAATTCAATTGAACTGAATATTTTTGCTCGAAGTTTCACCCTTGATAATTTTTTCTTTCAATAGTGTAATAATGGGGATTCCTGTCTCAAATCTTCGCTGACCGCTGCGAGTAATGCAATCTGGCGGTCTGCACTGCACTTACTTGAAGGCTTTCGAAAACGTCAACCTTCGTCGCGGGATGCTTGAAAACAAAAGCAACGAGCTTTTATTTTCACGAATTCCATCATCTATTCTAACGGAACATTAACTATAGTCACTACAAACTCACGTAGGAGACTCATAGGGCACCTACTAATTATTTATTGTGTGCAAAGTTATTAAGGAATGCTTCTCATGCGAGTGTATTTATAATGAGCGCTTGGAAATGGTTGATGCTAGATTATAGTGGGGGGGTTTGGGCTATTGAGTTTATGATTGAGTAGAAAGTATTAACGACGCGCTGTGTGGCGAGCTCTGACAACACTCCGATGTTTGCAGGTGGCCCTGGCGGAGCGTTTGGCCTTCGCGAGGGGGGCTGAAGGCTGTCGCTGGAGGCAGCGCGCAGCCGCCTAGCAAGTTCGATGAGAGCGACACCAAGATGCCTCAACCTCCTTCCATCCACTCAAGAAAGACCTGAGTCTCGGGCGAAAATGCCAATTTATCATTCTATTTACAGTCGCTTACCAATGGTGTGTGTGGAGGGGGGGCAATGTGGGTTTCTTCCTGTCTTTGTTTACGCAAGGAGTAGTTACTGCTTCATCTTTTAGGAATTGTATTATTAGAAACTTCGAGATATTTTTGTCGTTCAGCCCTTAACGGATTTTACAAAATCAAATCGAAAGAAACGCCCAATGTAATCACTTACTGCAAACTCCGGAGTTTTCTTACAAGCAGGGCTGCCAATAATCACTTTAAAATATTAATTAGTATGAGTCGATGTAGATAACAATCGACGGTTGTGCAATCTGAGAAACGTGATGTATGTTGACCGGGTTCTTCAAAAAATAAGTCTCTGCGGAAAGGACCACAAGTACAGAAAATAATTTCAATATGTGATAATAAAACTGAAAATATTTTAAAACAAACATGCAAAATATTATTATACCGAGGCGCATCTAGGTATTCAGACGCTCATGGCAAGCGTAGAATTTACGCCCCTGACAAAATATTTTAAATTACGGTTATTTGTTTTAGTGTGAACCCTCTGAAAAGCGCCTCTGGTGAGTGGCGCCCATGGCACGTGCCGTGCAGGGACGGTTGCAAATCCGGACTTTTCGTTTGTTACCTTCTTTTATTTGGCAAAACTGATTTAAATATTCATTAAAATTATGTAATTATTTAAGAAATATTGTGTAGTATATAATATACAATATAATTAAAATGTTTATTACTTAACAAAAATCTATGATGGCCCCGTCCGAAGTGATCGGCTGAATCCACCCCTGGTGCCATCCCTGCTCTACCGCCTCTGAATTTATATACTGCTAATGACTTGAATTGTTACTTCTTAAATATAAACAAAATTTTCTTCCATCACCTCGGGGTCTGCCGTTCTCCTCCTCCAGGAAGTGAACTGCATTGCTATGCAATTGGCACAAGCGAAAACTAAAGAAACTCATAGTAACCAGACCAATAAATACAATTGCGCAAATAGAAACATGTGCAAAACAAATTGTTTTCAATTTTTTTAATGGAATGTGCATTACCATTTTATTGAAATCACCCACCACAACCTATTTCCCTATTCGGATTTTTCCTTCTACGTTCCATGCCCCGCGAATCGACTCCTTATGCCACGAGGTCGGACAAAGACGCACGACAACCCGCCAACGATGGTTTTGGTTTCAATGCCCGTCATCCATATTCTACCGTTGGGTGACGTTTATTTTGGTAAAAAAAAACAGCTTTCATATTTCCAAATTTTCAAATATTCAAATTTTTAAGTTTTCAAAAAATTAGATTGATTACTTTGCTGACTGGTGAGATCGGCTTCCGCGGATTTTCCCCAACCTGGCATCCCCCACCTGCGTGTCCCCACCCTAGTCGGAATAAGCTCTGCCACAGTCGGACACAATAAGAACAAAGATCTGTTATGTCTGGCCATGAAGCCCATTAGCAAATCTAAAATGTATCAAAAGTACAATAAAATGAATATTACTAAGGGCCGGTTTCACCAAACAAAGAGTAAGAGTTTACTCTGGAGTAAATCGTGTATACTCGAGAGTAACTTCTTGGAGCGTTTCACCAACACTTTACTCGAATGTAAATCGCTTACACGAGAGTAAATCCGAGAGTAACTTTATACTGCGAAAATCCGTCGGGTAAAGTACGGAGTAAATTCAGTTTTCAACGTGCATGTACCTCCGAAGTGTTATGGCTCGACGATTACGAATGATAGTATTTGAAGACGATTCCAGCAAGGATTCGGAATATTATCCACTAGTGCGAAGACAAAAGGTGCGGGCGAGGATGGATTGGTTTTAATTACGTCCTTCGAGATTTTGTCATGAGGTTATGTTTGACCAAATAAGCTATTAAATTCATCAGATATATGGTAAACAGTAGAGAACTTGTAAATTTCTTTTTCACCCATGTGAATGAGAAATAAAGGTAGTATGTACCGTATACGATGACAAAAGGAAAAATAATAACTACAGGGACTACAAGTACTAAGAAATATTTATTTATTTAGTAAAAACTGTGTGTGAGATATGGGGGAGATAATTTTCGAACGTTTTCTTGAGTTTTTGAATTTCTTTTCATTATTTAAACTACAAATAGTTGAAAGGTGAATAAAAGTTTAAAAAATAAAACAAACAATAAGTAATAATAATAATAATAATAATAATAATAATAATAATAATAATAATGATAAAATTTAGAAAACGCGAGATCAGCAACATTTGAAAAACTAACCATTTTCGTTCCCGATTTATAGAAAATTTATTTGCACCGCCATCGGTAAACGAACTGCAAATTTGATTTTTCTGCATTACGAACAAAATAGTAACTAGAAATAAACTATGCTAATTCAAATCACCATAAAACCACACAAGATAATAACGCCAAGAACTACGAAACTGAAATGAATGATAGAATATAAGGAATTAATCAAAGTTCGCGTTGGTCCGCAGTGGTTCCCAGCGTCACTTGCTCACAGCCTCTTGAATCGCTCTCAAATATTGCGCGTTCAGGTGATTCGCGGAGTAAATCGGAGAGTATGTAGAGTAAAATAACCCTCTAGAAGCATGGTGAAACGCTTCTATTCTACTCGAGTGTTACTATCTTAAAGTAAATGCTTTCTTTCGGGTAACTACTCTCAACTTTACTCGGCTGTTGGTGAAACTGGCCCTAAGGTTTTTTGAAAACTGTGAAAATTTTTAAAATAATTATAAATCTCCACCCGGGCTTCATTGTTGCATTGTCTTGTGACGCTAAGCGTTGCCGTGTGACGCAGGGCGCGTCTCAGGAGGACCGGACGGGCGCCCGTAAGAGAGAGAGAGAGGAAGAAAGAGAGCAAGAGAGACACCGAGGGAGAGGCAGAGAGATACAGAAGGATATATATATATATATATATATATATATATATATCCACAATATATCTATATATATATATATGTAGAGAGAGAGAGAGAGAGAGAGAGAGAGAGAGAGAGAAAAGAGAGACAAACACACAGAGAGACAGATGGAAAGACACACGGGCATCTTTTCTTTTCCACAAAAATTGTATACGAAAAACCCCGGGAAAAGCCGGGTATTTTGCCCGTTTTTCTTAGAAAATATATTTCTAAGTTTTAAACTATGTTACTGTGCGACGATGAGAAAATTCAATTCTCAGGTTGAGAAGACCGGAATACATGGTTGATTTCATTCATCTAGCGGTATTAAAATATTTTCAAGAGAACGGTCAAGCCCACGGTGTTGAAAATGGTCAGAATTATTCCTTATGCCATTATCCATTATATTGTAGTGCATGGACGAAATATAATAATAAATTAATTGCCCCCGAGTCTTGATAAGGATTGCCAGGTTATCAATATTCGAACTACTTAAGAGATACTGCATGCAATTGCCTACTCCTACTAAAGGTTCATGAGACACTAACTCAAAATGAAATATTCTGATTCATACCGAATAGTGCAAATAAAAAATTATCAAAACTAATAACAAAGGAAAGTTACAGTAGTAGACATTAATCGCTCTCTGAATCTGCTATTCTACTTTCACGTCGCACATCAGCTCCAGGAGCATACGCAACTTCAAAACTTCTGTCGGTAGCTGTACAGTTTCCTTAGTTGATAGTGGTCCGATGCTTGTTATAACTGAGTCAGAAGAAATTATTAAGAAATGAAGCAGATCTTCATATGCGCGTACTCGAGATGATTTTCGGGTATTTCTTTCTCGACACGACTTGAAGTCTTTGTGTCGTGCTTCCTGCGTGTTTTCGGACAGTTGTCCTATTTGGTCAATAATTTCATTAATGACATCAGCGCATGAATTAATATTTTGTGCACTGTTACATGCGTGAAGTATTCATCCGTATAAAATGACTTGCTGTTTCAAATGCGTTTTTTTCTGAAAGCTTCCTTAGTCACATCATATCCACTCCTCAATGCTTGTAAAACACATGGGAAGCGGCGAATGGGGCTTCCGTCTATCCAAGTGATGTTAGTATACTGCTCCAGATTTTGAGAAAATTGCCGAACAGTACTCCCATCGTTCGATGCCCTACTTTCTTGTTTTAGGAAGTCCATAAGGAGTTCCATTTTCTTTCGAAATTTGACAATTATTTGCATTTTCCTGGGATCTAACAGTATCTTTTCTTCATATCCACGAATTCGCTAATTTATAGTTTGTGAGAATTGTGAAGAAGGGTCTGGAAGAAACGAATTTGAGCTTGAAAGATTAACATATAAAGCTTCCTTAGGGCAAGATTTTTAATACTTCGTTTTAGATTGTTCATTTGCTTTGCATCTTAAATAAAAAAACTGAGAGGAGGCTTTAACATAAGTGATTTACACATTTTTCTCTGATATATTTCAATAGTTTGTGATATTCAGAAATATCTAGGCCTTCAACATTCAATTTTGTTGCTTGAAGCTTCTTAATGCTTTTTTTTCTTGAAGAGCTATTTCTGTTTTTGTCCTATCTGGTGTCACCTTCACAAATTCGAAATTAATGGGTCTGTAAAATATCGCTGTACTTTTCGCTTTTTTGTCATCTTCCTACAACATTTCGTTGTCCTGTCATGATGGGTTCCTTGTCGCGAATCTATCATTCTGTTACAAGCCTTCCATTTGTCAGCAATTTGGCAGGTGAATCTCCGTGTCTTCTCTCTTAATACTGCCTCTGGAATACTTCCAAGAACATTACGGGAAACATACTGCATTAGCATTTTCTATTCCGTAAATCTGTTGCATGAGAGAGTTCACTCTCATTCAAGAGCTCGAATAGTTCCCGTCAAGTGACTGTACAAGTACCTGAAAAAAATCGATGTTTTCGGAAAGAGACAGATTCGGCTAAAAATGTTTTCCACCATTTTGTTTCAGAAGGAATACAATTGTGCAAAGACCATTCCCGGCAATTGATGACAACTCAAGATAACTCATTTTTAATTTCCGATCACTATGAAACCTGTCTCAAATACATGGTGATACTTTCGCGTATAAAATACAACCAAAAATGTAAAGTTTCTATTAAATGTTTCTGCATTCTAAAGAACATACCTTCCGGATTCTCGTCCACTGGCAGTGGGCAATAACATCAAGCGCGTCAAAGCAGGACTTAGGCACGGCTGCGCGCGCGGCTCGGAAGCGCTCGCTGAACATACCCCCCATTCTTTTGAGAAATGAGTGTTGTACTTATGAGGACTGGTACAGTCCTGGCAAGAGTATTTAGGAACTCACTCACGTAGGCTTTCATTCGTTTAAGGCATATGCATTTTTGATTTAGATACCACTGTGCGGCGTGGGGGATGTCGCCACACGTATCCCCTTTACCCACGACCGCGAGGCAGGGACGTCACCGGGAGGCCTGAGTCCGTTTACAGGCTGACGCGCCAAGTACATACAAGTTATTACAAAGATGAAATAGTATGGAGGGGGAAAGAGAATAAGTAAGAAAAAGTCTGAACATTTTTCGAAGAACTTTCACTCAAGTACGCGATTCAAACCCAATGGAAGCTGTAGTGATTTTTAAAGGCGAAAAATCCTTCGTACGTCTTCCTTCGGAGGGGATGTTAAGCTGACTGTCCCATGTAGATTTACTGCACATAGAAGATTCTCAAGCCTAAAAGAAGCCTCTGAGCAAAAATTAAAACCCCTTATTTCGTCACCCCAGTGATACATCCTTTCTCTGCTCGACGGTGAAAGGAGCATAGCGGAATTTGCTTGGTCAGGGGGATGCGCAGATGTGCTGACCTGAATCTCGTCACGGAAATAAATTAAAGTTCTGAATCAATAACTTAAAATGTCAGATATTGTTCTTTGTGGTAATATTAATCAGCATCAGGGGTAGGTATTGAGGAAAAGTAGGTAAAGTTTATAAGAATTATATTTTAAACTTTCCTTATCAAGTTCTACCAGTTGGTTTTAATAGAAAAGTTAAACATTCAGAAAAAACCTTAGTTCCAAACCGTTATTGTTTAAGGAATTCCCGTGGTTGTATTTCTCTAAAACTCTACATAAATTGTTTTGATGGCCACGTTTGAATTTTAGCAATAAAAGTAACGTTTGGAACATAAACGGATTTGCCGCTGTTGAATACAACTCGATTGTTGCAAACACGGCAGACCATATAAAATAAATTAATCGTGTGCATTTCAGACTACACTTATTCTGTGCTGTAACCCACGTGTCCGATGTTGAAGCCAGCTCCCAACGCCTCCCTCGGCTACAATGCAGCCATGCCCGGCTCCTCTGGAAATTCGGCAGGCGATGTAGGATTCGGTAATATTAAAAGAACATAACATGAATTTACTTTCCCTCTAAAATTATATTACAAAGAAAGACGGCTGTGATCAACTCATGGAGGGAGAATAATCGCAGGCGCGATTAAAAACTTCTTAATTCGCTACAGTGAAGTCACTCTGGGGACGTTCAAGCTCCCGATTGGACGAAACCGTGATTTAACGCTTATTTACGTCAATTGCACTGTAAATAAATCCTAGTATAACAGCACTTACTTGGTGCTCATTTCCGAACTTCTTGGCTGGCCCTGTACCTGCGACGGAGCGTCCGGTCCAACGGCGTCAACAGAAGCTTCGCGGAAGCGGCATGTCTCGTGACGGGCGGCTGCGCCTGGCCCGGGCCAGCCTATGCTCCCACATCTTGCGTTCCACGCCAAAAATTTTGTGAGCGATCCTCGTTTGTTTTTGGTCACCCCATTCGCGGCTCCCTTGGACACGTGACGCGGGTCTCCTGTCGTTGGCCTACACTGAGATTTTTCTAACTCTGCCCTCAAGGCCCTGCATCACGGTGACATTGTGTCACCATTTTTCGCGTCTTTCTCGGTCGTGCCGATAAACGTCGCATGCTTGCGACCGTATAGCAGTACTGGGTACGGTGGCGATCATCAGACATCTAGCGGCACGACATAGAAAGGCGGGAAATACTGTGACGTAATGCCGTGATGAGTTAGATACATCGCAGTATCGGAAATGCACTAGAATAGGCCCAAAGCGGCCTTTGTATTAGTTAATATGTTTCTTTAACGTTTTAAGTTAGTTTATTTAAGATAGGCCCTAACTTCCGCTGCACATGCCTTATCAACCACAGCTCATTATGTACCCCGAAAGCAAAATAAATTCCCGACTCTCAAGGGTAACTGAAGATGGAAAAAAAATAAACTTCTAACTTTTAACTGGAATTAGGAGGTGGCCGCAAGGGGTAGGGCTTTCGAGCGGCACTGCACTATCCTAAGCATCCGGTCTGCTCGTCCGTTGCTAGCTTCGGCAAAGGGAAAACTACCCTCGCATACCAACGCGTTGTAAACCTCACTGCCCCCTTAAAAGTGTACCATTCCTGGCTCTCTTCGTGAACGCCGTCGCCCATGATATAAAAAAATCAAACCACATGCGGAAAAATAATGAGACTCGGGGACAGTCGCAGATATTATGTACCTGGCACATGTTCCTGAATACACAGGTGTCTCAGAGATTCTTTGAAGAATATTGTAATTCAGAAGAAACTTCTTTTGCAGTTAATAAGAATACATGTGAATCTCACATTCGCAGCCTTGAAGGACAAAAGGATCACTGTGATGTACAAATATGCGATTTTGATTATTAAGATAAGTGTGTAAATGTGTAAATTTATATTTCCTTACTAACTCCTCACTTAACTTCAGAGCCACTGTGCCGAAAATTATTTAAAATATCCAGTGGTTTTGTGTGGTTTCATTGTCTTGTCACATATGTTGAATTGCGGTTTAATAATCACAATGAAAAAGTTTGATTTGGAACATGAGATGATATTGATAATACCTTAATTGTTTTTGGAGAACGTAAAACAATTCTTTCTTCCTGCCAAATCAGACACACAAAAATTTGTAATAAATGAAAAAGATTTTCAAATCTCACATGAAATTTGTCCATTTCAAGGAATGGTTGATGAGATCCTATTCAAACTTAAAACGGAAATAAGTGATATTTTAGATGTTATAAAAATGGCATGCATGACAATAGCTTCAATATGTTACATCATAGACGAATACTAGTTACTTGAGCTGAACAGCTGTGACACGGAAAGAAGTAAATTCTTTCCATTAAGAAAATAATGAAATCTTTTTTTAAAAGCAAATCTTGAAATATTTCAATCAAAGTATTTAATATTTGAAAATTGCAAATGTAAATGTTCAACTTTGTTTTTAAGTGTCAGGAAGGGAGTGTTTGCTGGGATGCTGGTGATCTAGAGCAATCATGAATGGTGTGTTAAACCTACAAACCTGAGTTTGAATCCCAGCATGAAAAAAAAAGTTGCTGGTTGCAAACATATGTGTAGGTTCAAGTAGTATAATAATAGTGTCATTGTTGTAAATACTTCCAAAATATGAGCTTATGTTTCACCACCATTTCTGTTCCTGTTCTCTTTTGGCTTCCCTAGCCTAGAACATATGCCACTGAATATAATATATAATATATATAATATTACATAACCAACACAAATAATACAAGAAAATCTACATGATATTTTGGTATCTTTAGTTAATATCCCAAGGAAGCAATACAACATCCTTTGCCGCATTCAGCTTGCTTTCAGAACTGCTTCTCTTGCTAATTCTGAGCACATTGTAATGGTGTAAGGAGAAAAAATTGTGGATAGGAAGAACTGATTAATAATATTACAGGCATGTGTGTGTACATATAAATATATATATTCCAATACATCATCTTGAAAACATACATTGAAACTTTTCAAAAAAGATTTTAGTTCTTTTTCTGTTTTCATCCATTTTCTCATTAATCTTCTTAGTCAGGAATCTCACATACTGTAACAAACAAAATTACAATTACTTCAGCATATAGACTATTTCTAATGTGACAATTTTTTCTGCATTATTTTATTATTGCATTATTTTTTTTGTTTTGTTTTGTTAATTGGCCATCATGGGGCTAAGCGATACCTGCATTCCACAAGGGCTCAGTCATGATTATCCGGGTAGGTGCACTTTATTGTTTTATTGAGGAGATCAAGGTTGTACACCCTGGGGGATGAGGTGAAATGATGATGATGATGAAATAGACACACACAAACATAGAGCTGCACATTTATTATTATTATTATTATTATTATTATTAATTATATTATTATTCTTATTATTATTATTATTATTATTATTATTATTATTATTATAATTTTCTTTTTTTTCTTTTGAGGGGGGTCAGCATTGTTATGCCGAATCCATTTTTACACCCCAGGGTAGTTAGTCCTGAGGGATTGAAGATTAGATAATTATGGTGATGCTGAAGGGACAACCACAAGCATACAGGCACAGACACACAACATGGAAGGGGAGGGACTCGAACCCGCCATCCTTCCATTCTGCTTACGCAGTATAGAGAATGTCTTGTAATGCTGAAGGAGAAAACGGCGATTTTACGACAAAAAGCTCATTTTGCCGGTCTTTAAAAACGAAAAAGGGGATAAACCTTGTTCCAATACCAGTAGTTGATTGATTTGCGATTCCGGGCGCGTCACCTACTAATCGCGTAAGTGTAGTGCATGTTTATATCTCCGTATGTAGCTATGACCTCTCCCCCTGCTGACTGGCGAGACCCGGCGGCGACGTAGGTCAGTTTGCGCGGATTTTTCCCAACCACATATCTCCCACCCACCAGCATCGCACCGCTCCATTGAGGGCAAGCTCTAAGCTTCCGACTTGTCTCCTGACAAGTGTGGTAGTGTAGTGCATGTGAATGTAAGCGTGTAAGAAAGGGCTCAGGAAAGGACAAGGAAGAAGGAAAGATAGGTCGTGGTCCGTTTGTTAGGGTACTGCTCCGGCATTCGCCTGGTGTTGGTCGGAGAAAAACATGGAAATCTACCGATTAAAGCAGCAGGCCGCTATAATTCTCCTCCTGACAGCGGCTGAACCCGGTCTATTTATGATGGCAGTGTTGCAAATCCTACCACCGTCTGGACTTGAACCGTACGGCCTCTTGGTAAGAGGCACCGCAGTGACGTCAGTTGATGCCCCGAGCTACCCTTACCGGTTCTACCCGTAGTAAATCACGTCCTCTAAACAGTTATGTAATCAGAATCCACGTTTGGATGGTATTTCGATACAGAAAAATCGATTGACGGCAAAACGTCTGTCCTGCCATCTATGAAATACACAGGCGAATAAACCGTACGCAGGATATTCACCAAAAGTGGCATTCCCCAATCGATCAGACATGTCTCGGCCCATTGAAATTGAAGCGGATACTTTGAATTTTAGGGGTACTAAATATTATTAGCGGCGACCAGTATACATAATTGTATTAATGAGTACATGTAATTCAGATGTCTGCTGAAGTTTCTCAAAAACTCAAGTTTTCTGTGAAAATGTGTTTCAAATTTTGCATTTACGGTAATACTTTACAGACATTTCTTTTAAAACGTCTCCAAATTTTTCAACACAAATTTCCAACTGTGACAAGATTTTACCCTTCTGTAATATTCAGTAATATCTTTCAACTATTAGAAAATCGAAAAATTCAGAAAACTTAAAACAAAAAATACTTTGGGAGATAGCAGCTGGCAAGAGGATGGGGCAAGGCCGAAAGCTAGCCCCGACCAAAGAAATTAGAAAATAACTAGTACGAGAAATTCCGTCCCACTTTGTTTAATGTTTTGTTAATACTGATATTGTTTTATAGAGCTTTGTACTACATTTCCTGATATATTTTTTTATGTTATATCCTTTATATGACGGTACGTATTGGATTTTGGTATTTTTGCACGTGAGAATAACAGCATCATGTACTATGACACATTTGCAAGAGCAAATCGGAAAGATTAGCAAGTAGCAATTAGCAAGTCGGAAACTAAGAATTTATGGGAAGAAAGTTGTACATACAATTTCTCATGGGAACTGCGGAACCCGGATAAAATTAACACTTAACAAGATCTCGCTCTCTTTCTCGCCAACCACCCTTTGACCCTTTCGTTCGAAATCGCAAAGAGGGTCCCCACAGGGATTCGCAATGTAGTTGAGACGCCCCACGGGTTCCAGGTGGCTAGAGATCGTAAAGCTAGCACTCGCCTTGATTACAGTATGCAATGCAGGGCTACGCGATCAGTAAATGTATGGAAGTATATTGCAGATGAAATAACTGCTGCTATTGGTGAGACGGTGAACGAGTTTCATAAACGTCGGTCAAATTTGCGCAACATCAGCTCCGAAAGGCCAGGGTGAACTCAACGAAAAATGTAATTTGTAAGAAATATAGGTTTTGGAATATAAAAAATGTTCTTAGTGTAATACTCAAATCCAATGTAGTCTTAGTGCCAAAAAGAACCAGAATTAAAATGCCCCTTTAAACTCTGATGAATTCTTTTTCCTTATACGAACAAATTTTCACATATCCTGAAGATAAGATGACTTGATGTCGAGTGTTAATAAAATACTGAATGATGACGCAATTATGTGCAGGCACACGAAATCTCTTCGACTGCGTCAGAACGTAAGCTTCAAGACAACTGCGCATAAGAAGTCGCCTCCATTCTGGAGCAAATGTCACATGAAATTTGTCACTGTAGCTACTCTCAGCCGCAGCCATCGTCCAAAGTGATCAATTTCGACCTCTCTACATACACAACACACAAACACGTTTGTATAATTTCATTCTGTGACAATTGAAGATGTTCAGTGAAATTGCGCGAATGAATTATTCTTGAAGTACGAGTACTTGTATTTGGCATTTGAAAAGAAGCACATCACAATAAAAAGAAAACCCATGAACGTTGTATTTTTCCGTTTAAATCGCTGTGACCTTATAGCGCTAATCCAAAACTGTCCCATACTGTGTACGTTTTCGTATAAAAATCCTACTTTTATATAAAAATAATTCCTTATCGAAGAACATAACTGCGTATAAATAAAAAGCAACAGATCAACAGTAATTCATATTAAGCTGTCTAATGAGGAAAAAAATTGCAAGTGACTCCACATTGAAATAAAAATCTGGAATACTAACCTCGTCTGAAACTAACAATTTGCCAGCATCTGAAATAGGAACCTCCAGTTGCAAGCAACTTCTCACAGCCAAAGTGATTTTCTTGTGTTTACCAAGAGTGATACCAGAGTTTCGAAATCCAGATTCCAAGGCACAAGTATGCTGAAATAAAGAAAAAAATCAGAGCAACAGGCATCCAAAAAATCGGCAGATCGCTTAGAGGGCTGATATGAATGTTTAGATGTTTTGTTTTATGATATTCTGGCCTGCTCATGTTAACAGCTCGATGTTTTAGGGCAAGTGCTGTATTCCTTTGCTGAGCAAGTGCATTGTGCGAGAAACACTGTTAGGTCTCATCGGATGCACTTCCATGTTGTACTACTAACTCATTAAGCCGAGGTTCTAGCGGCGCACGAGTATGGTTCGTGGGTTGAATAGTTTTTCTGGACGAGGCAACTGCTCAGATTAGTCCCGTAAGTGTACTGTATGTTTCCCGCGGGAGGTGACGGTGATCATCACACACTGGATGGTGAGATCCGGATTTCACTCAGCCAGGTATCTCCCACCAGCGGGGCACCCCAACCGGGACAAGCTCTAAGTTCCTGCCTGTCTCCCGGCACTCTGTGGTAGTGTAGTGCATGTTAAGCGTGTTTGTGAGTGAGTAAAGGGAAGGTAGGACATGGAATGGGAAGGAACGATCGCGCACGGCCATGACCCGATTGTTAGGGTACTGCACCGCTTGGTACTGATTGGAGAAACAACTGAAAACTACTGATCAGAGCAGGCGACTGTTAGAATTCTCCTCCTGATAGCGACAGAAGTCCACCCAACTATCAAGTTAGTGTCGAAAATCCTCCCACTGTCGGGACTCGAATCTAGGACCTCCCGGTCACAGGCACTGCACTGATATCAGTTGATGCCCTGAGCCTCCTCTCCCGGCCGCATGAGCTGCAAAACCCTTTGGAAGGCAGTTTCTTTTTGAAATATTAATTTTGACAGCACCGAGGATGTAAAATTGCACGGTGCCATATAATGACGGGCTTATCTTGAGTCAACGCTAATCACTTTTATTTATTTAACTTCAAAAACAGTTAGACACGGTTTGTAATGTATAATGGAGATAAGTGTTTTCTGTGCACGTTTTTTTAAATTATGACATCCTACCCTATCCACTTACAAGTTGAATTCTGAATACAGATGGAAATTAGCATTTTTGGCAAGAGCTGCTAAGAAAATTTCGCATCAGTGTAAGTTTTCAAACAAATATTGGCAAAGTCAATTCAGCTATAAGTTTTGGCTATTATTCTTCATCGTGACCTATGTAAAGGAATATACTTCCTGTGTGAGAACATGGAGTACGATAATTTGAATAACTATATTTCCTATGGAACTGTAGACATGCACAGATATTGAAGTTTCTTTTATGTCCAGAAGCAAAATAAGGATCCATCTCAGCATTCACTCAAAGTATCAGGACACTGGACAAAAAACCTGACCGAGATGGGGGTCATTGACCCTGGCGTTGATACAATTTGTTTAGAATTACACAGTCCAAATGGTAATTTATATACTGAATATCGTTGTTAAAATTAATATTACATTGCTTTTGGATGCTCGGTATAGCGTATAATAGTACTGAAACAAGTTATTCAGTGAAAAATAATTAACTTGATATTTAAACTTGGGTATTGAATTGAACCCTTTAATGTCATCCAGCAATGTGTTATAAAATAATGCAGATGTATTATATGTGAATATTTTCTAGTGTGCTGTTGATATTGACACCTGATGAATATGATTACTATGTCAGTTGTTACAATTATAGACATTGGTATTTGCAAAAAATCTATTCCCACGATTGAGTAAGTCATTTTTGACAAAAATCACTAATTTGTAAATCAAGAGGCAAGGTAATGGTAGAATTCCTAGCTTAATAAAGAGAGGCATGCAAGAATCATGTGGGTAGGATTTGCTTAACATTCATTCAATTCTCTTTTGTAATCTAAAAGTCTGGGGGCTATAGTCTGTGCTTCCTCAAAATATTATGCCATACCTCAGACTGGAATAAACACTAGCAAAATATACACAATGAGCTGTATGAAGGCTGAATGAATTTGAGAGAATGCTGAACGCAAAGCATAATGAACTTAATTTTGTGTTCAGTTCATTTAAATGAATGTTCAATTTGAGGTTTAAGAGACCCAAATATTTCGTTACTTAGTTAAAAAGGGGTCATTCCAAGCAAATTTAGGAAAAGTGCATGTGAGACCCCTCAAGGATTTCAACAAAATTTTGAATGTCATGTTACAAATGTCTCGAATGAGCATTTCAGAAGTTGCAGCTTCAAAGGTGAAATTGCTCTTTGGACACCTTGCAGCGTTGTTAAACAATACGACCATTAAATTTTTGCAACTATATTTTGTTCTCCATTATTGCTACACAAATGAAACTTATAACGTAAAAATTGTTTGTCCTTTTCAATGAAACTAACGTCAATTTCCATTTCTGCGCGTCAGTAAATTGCAGCAAAGCCACCGGAAAAAAATTGGTGTTCAAAAATATTCCAGGCATTAATAGCAAAAATATCCCATTACATTCGAGTTAGAAATATGAAATTTGGTACTTAATGTAATACCATTTGTCGTTTAAATACATTCCATAATTTCTTTTTGTATTAGTTCTTACAGATTCTTTAGAAATTAAGTTCAGTGTTGATAATTTTGCCAAAAAGAACCAAAATAGGATTTTTCCAATCTCCTTTTACAGAAAAATACTTTCTAGAAATATTTTCAACCCTATTTTGTTGTCAAGAGCAGGTTTAAAGCTATATATACCATGCTTGGACTTGTAAATATCACACATGGTATTTACATGCCATGCCAAGCCATGCTTAGACTTGTTCAAACAACGAAGATGACCAAGAAAATAATACATCAATTCAGTTTAATAATATGTATGAACAAGTAACATTTAAATTCACATCATTTGTTTTCTTCTTGTAAACTAAGGTTAAGTTCTTCCTTTACATTCATAGGAAATCTTTGCCTTTCTTTAAATTGCAATCATCATAGGTTTTCTGGAATTAAATAAATAAACCATAAATTAAATTTAAGTTAGATATGACTCACCAGTTTCTTTGCATAATCCAAGGAAAAGCATTGTACATGCAAAATCAATGGTTCAAATTTCAAAATTATGTCTCCCCGAAGAGGATCTAATTCCTTTATTAATGCTTCTTCAGTAATTGGATCATGGCTGACAAATAACCATTGGCACAAATGTTTTTGCTTCTGAGAACTCTGCACAACAAATAAAACCAACATTATAAATCAAACAAAATATGAACTAATGTGAGTTCAAGTGCTTCCCCAAAACAAGATCCTACTTCACAATATAAGATAACTCGTCCAGAACATGAACTAGTAGTGAAAAATTCCTCTCGATCATTAATTTCCTCAACCAAATTTAGAATGGCATCATCAATTGAACCTTTCCGGCTAAAATCCACACTTTGCAAAACTTGCTTCTTTATGTTACTGAATTCACTAGCAGTACACTTTTGGTTCATTTTTATTATTTTCGTATAGTTATATGAAATGCTATAGTAAACAGACCACTCATTCAAGGTAAATTTTATTTCCAATTTCAACAAATCTTCCCAATTTTCATTTCCCTGTCTCCACTGCGTCCTCTTTTCCAGCTCTTTTCTCATCAACGCTGGCAGGAGCACGCCGGAGCACGCATCCAGTGGCATCCAGCGGGCATCATAACCTCTGGTCATAATCTGGTCATAACAACACCCATAGCCCGGTAGTATGCTCAAAGGCCACGGCGCGGCGCTCCGGCCTGCTTCGTGTTACAGCTACAAGTTCCGCTACTCACCGCTGGTGCGCTGCTCATCGACCATTCCTTGATGTAAATACTACGTGTCAATATCATAGAGTAGAATTATATCTCTCCTCTGTGGTAAATATATGGAGATCCGCATTACAAACTGAACTTTTCGACTTAAATTCAAGTACTGAGCCCCTCAATTACTTCATAAGTAACAGCAGCAATATTCTTCACGATCGCAGGTACAAAATGTTCACAAATTCAGTGATCATTATTATGTCAATGATCATTATTAAATTGCGCTCTCGTCACACGCAAGGAAACTGCTTCCTTGCAAAGCTGGATTTATATACTTTTGAAGGTTTTTTTTTCACAACAAACATTGAAAGTTGTGGTAGAGCTTTCATAATAAATAACGCTACCACCTATTACCTTCAGGTTTATTTAAAGAAGATATTGATTTATTTAACACTCAATAAATACAATTATCATCTCATAATAAATAAATATTAACATACATTCTAATGTAATGATGCTAAAAAAAAGTTACGAATTTTCGGCAGAAAAACCCTTACCGTCGGGCCTTGGTAACGAAAAAGTAAATAAATCGAATTTTTCCAAAGTACCAAGATGGCGCTGTAGAACAATATTCATGCCAAATGCAACCTATAACATACGCAGAAGAATTTTTTGAATCTATATCGCTTAACAATGTCTACATGAAGCGTTCTAGGACATTCAAAACTATGGTGTATGCCAATGGCCTAAAAAATGTTTTTCACATCGTAATCTACAGGATGAGCTTTTTTGAACCTTCTATTACATTTTTGCCGGGACGAGAAGGGGCAGGGGGAGACGAAGAAAGAGCAGAACAACGTCTGCCGGGTACCGCTAGTTACCTTATAAACGATAAATGCATATAGCCGCAGTTATCTACGAGTTGTAATTTATATAATAATAATTAATAATAATAATATATATATGTATATTATTATTATATTAATTATTATTATTATTTATTATTTTATTATACATTATTCAAAAGTACCGAAATTAAGGGTAGACCCTGTAGAGATCGCAGTCGCTAGGACAGACATGCAATACTTTCACAATCTCTTGTACAGACTAACAGGCAGATACAAGAGAGAGAACACAAAGCTTTTGTGACTGACCAACGAAATTGTAGCAGTTTGTACATCTTATGTTTGTAACATGAAAAAAGTAAATTACGAAAATGAGTGTTTGTCTCTGCGACTTATTGTACTGACGAGTTCAGCAGTTTTCGAATTACTTTTTGATGGATAACTCACCGTCTCTTGTTTTCCGTTTTCCAAGTCATGAGATTAGAAGGCAACAATCTCCTTTTCGTCTTTCGAGATGACGGCAGAGATGTGGTATGAATTGTGATTGAAGATGAATAGTGTCCAGTTCCTTTTAAATATTAATTTTGTGAATCATAGTACGGAAGGTAAGTTACAAATTAAGGAACTGTGCAGATCTAGTAAGTGCGCTCTTTTAGACTGTACTACATTCCTAACAAGCCAACAAAATAAGGTTTGAAAATTGATGATGTGCATTGCATGGAAATTGTGATGGATTTATAATACACGCCATTCTCTATGTGGGAAAGAAACCAAGGGGGTCTACTATTGGTAAGTTACTCTCTTAATCTATTCTTGGGTCCAACAGAAATATAACAGTGGATGATTGTTTTTCATTAATACCAAAGTTCAAGCGCATGCTTAAAAAATATAATCTAAAAATAACGGAGTCATTTCGAAAAAATAAAGCAGAAGTTTTGCAAATAGTGCACAGGAAGCCCGAAAGTTCAATGTTTTTGTTCGGTAATGCTTTCTTATGGAATGTGACGTAGGGGGGGAAAGATTATCTGCGCACGTTTTCTTGAGTTCCAGAACCACTTCCCGTCATTCAACTATAAATAGTTGAAAGGTGAGTAAAAGTTTAACATAAATAAATAAATTTTTAAAATCGTAAGATTAGCAATATATAAAAAACAGTTGGGGTAGATGTGTTTGATCAGATGTGCGCTAATTATTCTTTCAGCAGGGAAATCAGAAGGTGACCTCTTTGTACGTTCTATGGGACGGTTTTTGCAATGCTTGCCTGATTTACTCATTATTTATAAAGAAAATGCTCTTCGAAACAACGGAACACTAAAAAAGAGATTAAATTTTCTTGTCCCACCTCCAAAAGCTGACCCGCGTAATACAGTCGGTGCGCGCGCGCGGAAGAGCACATGACAGTAACATGTGCAGAATGTGGCTCATCACACAAATTTGTTATATGCAGCCATTGCAAAGTCTTCCAGAATGATCATAAAAATTGTCAAGTGGATGCATTACATTTAGATTTCTTCAATTTCTATAAAGTTTATGTAACATTATCAGCAGGTTAAAGTTTTTTTGAATTAGGAATAGAATAAAGATTATAAAACTGTGTTATTAAAAACATTTGTTAAAAATAGTTTGAATTTTATTTTGTCCGTTTGGGGCATCCAGCCTTACCATTCATGTCCCCAAAAATGGACCTTACCATTCCATGGTTAAAAAATAGTTCATCTGATTCGGTTTCATATAACCGAATATATTTAAAACAAATATTGATATTAGCCATTAAATACTGCAAATATTGTCACTAGAAAACAAATAATATTATAATTACATTCCTCTATACAGTTGTAAATATATAAAAATATGCAAAATGGGATAAAAATATGTTTTATTCTTTTAAACATGGCGCACCAATCAGAAAAAACCAACAGAAGATAGCTGATTATACGGCAACATTTGAGAATTTTCTCGTGGATACGGAAGAATAAAAACTCAAAAAAATTCACATTTATTTCAAACTTTAAGTTTCGCGACAAATAAAATTTTGAAAATTTAGCAAAGAATCATTACTTTTTATGAAATTCATAGGGCAAATGCAATGAAAAAAAACAACAACAACACTTTTTCGTTATTTCGAAGGGGAGACCTAAACGTCCACAAAAATGTGTTTCGTTGTCAGACTCCTTAGGAAAAATTTTATTTTCAATTTCAAACGGAGGCTCTTTTTACCACCTTATCCGCCTGGAGCATGGTTGTTCAACTGGCGGCCCGCGAAAGGTTTTTACCCAAAAGTCAAAGACCTTTGCATCCATATCCAGCAAGAACATAGCATGCCTAGCGCACACGCCATGTTGGAGTCAATACCTCCGTAAAGTAAAAATACGTTCAAGTTTAGATTTAAGAATTTTCTTCCAGTAAATTCAATTGAAAACCACCCTGAGTTTCACTGCGTTACACAAGCTTCGGCCTGCCATCGCGCATGATTCCATTTCCCCCTTCCCCGTTTCAGATTTAGCATTACGCCCTGAGGAAGGTCGCAGAATGGCGACCGAAACGTCGGCACCTTCGCCATGGACGCGGCGTCACCCGGGCAGCCTAATAAATATTTTTCTCGGAAGTTTGAGAACTAATTTCAAATTCGCGTTTTTGCTAGATTTTTGGAAAAAGGGCTTCGTAGCGTAAATTATATTTTAAAAAGGCGTCAAATGCCGTTCAGAGCGAAAATCGAACCTTGGTTAACACGCTATCAGTGAAGTAAATTTTACTTATTTTGGTACTGCCACGTGGAGGCTACTATTATACTAGTGTCAGGACATTTAGCCTTAACGTGGAATGACCCATATAACTTCCTTCCATTCAAAGCAATATTCCCATTATAAATACCATTGTATATTTTTTTCCCAATGAAGAAAATCTTCCTTCAAAAATATATATGGAGAGTGTCAACTGAAATTTTCCCCTTCTGAATACTTTCTAGATCCATGTTCGGTGTTAACAATATTTGATAAATTGTACAAGTCACTGTGCAACAGAAAAGATTTCTGATAAATCCCCTTCAACTGCTGCGTTTTCAGTGGATTTCAGTCCAAATAAATGGGAAAAGTACAAGAGTGTGCACCCTCCTGGATGAACTGGTTTCCTCAAATTAAGTTCAATTATATACTCTTGTAAAAAAATCTACAATCAATTCTCTTCATAGAAGTTTTTTTTTTTTATTGCTCAGTATCAGAGTGAGCCCTTGTTAGCAGTGGTTATTTTTAATCAAGAAATTGCAAGTATTATTGGTATTCTTTAAATTGTAATGAATCTAATGTCACACACGTTTTCACAGTATAAAGAATTGTAATGCTGCGGGGAAAACTGTGATTTTTCGTCAGGAAATCTTGTATTGTGGGTCTCTTAATAGAATAAAAGTGAATAGATCTTGTTCCAACATATAGTTAATTACTTCCTCTAACACATATCAGAATCCATGTCTGGGGGATCCTTGATACTGAAAATTTGAAGGCAAAACATTTGAAAGGATCACCAAAACCTATATTCAACATTCGATATAACTCACGCCTTAGGCCCTTAAATTTTTGGGTGTACTTTACATGAAAACATTTTCAAAATTTTCTTGAAAATAAATCCAAATTTCTCTAATTGAACATTGTCAAATAGCGTTCGTAACATTGAAAATACCAGTGCAGGTCGCATTTTCTTAAAATCTTTTCAAAATTGCCAAAGTTAAAAAATAATTTCAGCGTCTACCCAAAACTACAATATTGAAGGTAGCGATTCTTTCTTAGTGAAACCTGTTCTCCAAAATGGAAACTTTAAATATCAGGTACAATAAAAAAAACGCCTAATTTTCAAAAATTCAATATTGATGACACTTTTTACGGAATGAAAACTGTTCTTTACAATTAGATCTATAAATGTAATGCACTTTTTTAAAATAAAAGTAATTTTTGGCAAACAAATATCCCTTGCTTTATTTGCTAGTCTTTCAGGAATGTCAGGACATCAATACAATGGCAACACCTATGCACTTCAACATAAACTTAAGTCTCATATTTTTCTTCAAACTACAGGTGTTCAGAAATCTATCTCAGTCTAAAGAAAAGGATTAGTGGTATAACTAAATTGTTGAACAAGTGCTGTTTAGATTGCACAGATTATTGTAATAAATTTTGACAATAAGTAACCATAGTCTGAATGAATTTCGTAAGTTTTCATTTGCATTTACCCTGAGCCTTCAAAAGTGAATCTGGAATACATCTTAATACAAAAGATAGTGGTTTGCCTGCTCATATTTGCTGGTTTTCTTTTAAAGCATTTTAACTTATTTTAGTAATACATTCTATTATTGTATAGGATTACATTTAATTTAGAACAAAACAAGTTACTTTAAGCATGAGCCATGTTTAACATATTTGAAGCATGGTGAGGTGCTTAATGTGCTACCATTTCACAGCAGTTTAATCCCCAACAATTATTTGCTGGCACAAAACTGTGCTTTCTACTATTCCTCCATACACCTTTGACTGTATATACCAATTGATGGAAAATATAAAAATCTATAGCTTAACGAAAATGATGAACTTTCTTTTCCTTCTATTATTTTACACACTAAAAACATCTTCCCCAGCCAAAATTAGTTTTATTAGAATTGTGATAAAAAAATATACAAAACTAAAACAAGAACAAATAGAAATGAGTGCCTTATTTCAGGGACAAAGACATTTCCCTATTTACTTGTTGACAATGCTGCTTCTCATTACGACTAGTTCACTGAGCATTTGGTCTTTGTGCCTGAAATAGTGATTGGTTAATACAAACAACAATCCACATATCAACAATTGATGGGAACCATCGGTTTCTCTACACAATGGAAGACTAGTTCCTTATTTATTTCAATCACTCTTGAAATTAACAGGTATTTACATTGGAGCAATTTTGTTTAAGAAATTTCCTGTGTAAAGCAAATCCTCTACAGAAAGCCAGGTAACAGTCATTATATACAAAACACTAAGTTTTTCACTTACACTCCATCACACGTTAGTTCTTTGTACAAGTATTAGGCCTAGTTCATCAGCATATTCAGAATCATAACAAGCTTAATGTCAAAGTCAGAACTTATATGAAAATGCCAGTGAAAATATTTACACTTTATACAAACAACCACCAACTTTGCACTTTCTTTTAGCTACACAGATATTGAGACTTAGGAGAAATACAACAAAATCTCATGCAAATCCCTCACACAGTATGTTCTTTCACTTGATTTTAATTTCTAAGTTAAACTAAATGACAATCATTCAACTTTTGTCCACAACACTAATAGAAACATAGAACATTGCAACTTCAAGAAACTCTTAGGAGTCAAAACCTGACTTTGCTTTGCTAATATCACAGATGCAGAAATATGAAGCCTTGTTAAAATAAAGGGAAGAGGCTGATCCACTGCCAAAACTCTAAATTACTCTAAAATACACAGAGAAAAGTACCATAAACTATTTACTTTTACATGTAATGTAATATTTTAAAAATAACAAGACCTTAATAGTTATTGTTCTTAAAGATCTGCAAAAGTTTAAAAGTTAAACAAAAGGATAGGGTATTGAAAATCTATTTATCTACCAGATGACCATAAGCAGAACCACTGAAAGGTTTGTTAAGCAATTAAACATCTTTATGGGCCAACAGCTTGTGAATACATTTTAACAAGTTTATACAGAACATACAAGGCTCATGTTGCCTACACACCACACAAACATTAACAAGGTGATTCATTTCATTTACACTGTGCTCCAATTAGGAAACAAAGTTTATAACCGCAACCTGTACATTTACTGGAAGTAAAAGATTTTAGGAATAATCCATCAAAGACAAAAAACACAAATTTTATCCATCAGGAAATAAAACATACTTTTTACACACTGAAAGATAAGTGCACTTCTCATCTTGAACTCATCAACAGCAAGATGATTCTGCCTTTACATTGTCAGACCATCCTTAAGGAACTTCTGCCTAAAGAACTAAGATCAAGCAAGGAAATCATTTTGAATTGAAAATGACCCTACAACACACAGTAAACATGGTAGCTGTGACAATAAAAAATATTTTAAATTTCACTAATATTAAAATGAGGAAAGGCAATTGTTTAAACTGTTTTTATAATCTGAGTGAATAACACTTCAGTTTGTTAATGGTTGAATGAATAAAAGAAACTTTTGAATGTTTGAAAAGTATTTGTGCACTTCTTAATTTGTAAAACACCACAATTCTATCAAATATATTGACAACTGAACATAACAAAAACTTCCAGCAATTATGTCTAGGAATGGCATTTTCAACAAACTTTATTAATGAGCACAAAAATATTACAAAATATAGCATTAAAAAAAAAAAAAAATAAAAAAAAATTTAAAAAAATCAAAACATCAACCAAGAAAGTCGACTAGTTTACTATTTCTGAAGAGAACAACCGAAGGGCACTTAATGCACAAGTTCAAGCACTGTTATATTATAAACAAAGAGAAATACCAGTTATCAATTACTGATGTAATTAATATTCTGAAAATCGCTTCAGCACAAGTTACAACACATTTAACAAAAGGTCATTCATTATTAATTGAAACACACAATTTCGAATTTGTTGAAAAAACTGTCATCTGAATAACTTTTTATACAGCAACACCATAACAAATACAAAATACACATATAAATTTGACAATAATACATGTTCTCAGTGAATCCGATGACTTAATGAATCATCTCACAACTGACCTGTAACTACTGCAATAATAACTATATTAATATTGTTATAAAATTTGTCTTCCAGAAAGTGGGATCTTGAGGCATGTTCGTGTTTTCCTCCTTCAGGCAAAATCATAAAACAAACTGTCTTCATAATGCAACCAAGATCGCACAATGAAACTTGATCTATTGAAATCTATTAAAGAAATGTATCCACGAAAGTAAAGTGTTCAGCAGCAGAATCACGGATTTCAGTGGACATCATGGCACTATTTACAGCAGATGTGTCCGTTCACTAATCTAAGTGCAATGCTACATCTTTTCAGCTAAGGCACAAGCATTGTACTACCAACAGTGATTCCAATTATGTTTGAAGAAAAAGTTGAAATTCAGTCTTCACAAAAGTACCTCACTACACCATTAATGTCCACCTTTTCACAATTTATCTGCTTTTATCAGGGGTAGCAGCTGCACTTCCAATAGTGTCACATCGACGATAATACAACAGATATGGAACTCTCGATCCACGAGGATGCAACATGTGAGTCTCTTGTATAGCCTTTACAGAGCTATCATCATATCTCACCCACCCACCATAACCAACATGGTACACATCAGTTATATAATGTCCTTTGGTGGCTTCTTTCCCATCGTGATACACAACTGAAAGTTAACAGCAATTTTTATGAGAAAGGTAAATCACTAAATAATACAAATGAAATAAAGCAATAAACATACCTGCAAAAAGTTTGTATTGCTTTTGCTTTAAGTTATATTTGTTGGAAGAAGACATCAATTCTGAAAACAATTCCAAAAAATTAATTTGAGTGAAAGTGAGAGAGTGAGTGAGAGTGCGCGAGAGAGTATTAAATTATAGAGGCACAGTCACTTTTCTTAATTTCTCTCTTACCCAGTAGCAAAACGAAATCAGAAAATGCATTTTCTTGTGGGTAAATGGTCAACATTAAACAAAATACGATGAATGACAATAAAATCAACAATATGGATGAATAATGGGTTTAGCTTGGCCACTCCATTTGACAAACAAACGTGAAGAGCACAGGAACATCATGTATTTTATTTACAACAGTATCGCTGATAATGTGTGAATCTTACTGGTTATATGTATTGGCATAAAAAACAGCATGACAAGATAGTTGAACACAAATCACTGAGGTCAATGGGCAGAGCCTCACCACTAACATGAAATAATAAAGAGTGAACAAATAAATAAGGGTCTTCATTGGTGGTGAGGATCAAGCCATTTGGTCTGCTCTTCTGCCTGACCACTAAATGGGTCCATGAAATGCCCACTTGTCTGCAGAAGTACTTTGGCAGAAAAATGCTTTAGAAATTTGCAATTTTTGAACTAGCTGGTGTGGATTAGCTTTAATAAATTATAAATCAAAAGGCACTTGCTGTCCAAAAATACATTGCTCAAAGAAGCAAATTGTGGTCGAGTGTTAGTAGATAAGGAACAAAAATAATGTTATTGCTATAAAATTCTGTGATTACTTATTAACATAATTTGTCTAAAAGGCTATTTATTTGGAAAATGCTCATATAATGAAGAATATGATGTGCAAATGTACATTTGTAATAAATATTTACTTAATTATGAAGGGAGACTGAATTGGAAAATATTGTGACATTGAGCAACAAAACGACAAAATCTTAGAAGCTTCACACAAGGCCCTCCAAAAAGTAAAGGATTTATTTCATATTCACAGGGGAAAGGGATAAAATCTTCTGAATTCAATTTCGCATCCAGTCACATATACAATGACACAGATGTTTGAAAACTAAAAACAGCACATTTTTAGCAGAACAAAACCCTCCAAATCATTTCATTCAAAATCCCCACAGGAATTTTTTGCAGCAATTCAATACTTTCTTTAAACCATGTGTACCATTAAGAAAAATTAAGATAAATAACAGCTTCAAAAACAAATATATGTATATATTGAAAATTTCAATTAAATTGGCTTAGTAGACTATCAATCCATGTGTCATGTGCACAATCAGTGCCATCTATAGTTTAGTAACTAGAGATGGTACATTTTTTTTCAGAAATTTCCTCATGTAGGGGTTCTTCCTTCAAAAATTGTTGCCAACCTTATTGTAAAATGCAGCTTGCATCACCAACTAATTGTGACTATTATAAATTATAATAATGATAATTTTAATATATATATATATA